GTCACATTATAACGTCCCCACGGCTGAAAGGGCGAGCATGTTTAGTGGGACGGAAATTCGTACCCGCAGATTGCGAGTCGAGCGCCCTAACCACCAGACCATGCCGGGCCACCCTATGTAGCTATTCGTGATTATTTCTGACGTGTTTTTCTATCTCTCTCTGCTTGTGGTTTTATTAATATATCCTTTTGTCCCATCCTGTTTATGACATCACAGCATGTGATCTTAACAATTACTAGTAAAGCTCAGCTTTGCAAATAAGTACAGTTAAAATTTAAAGAGCAATGGATAGAAAAGCATATAAACTATTTACGTTAATGTAAGGTGAATAAACTAATGCGAAGAGTAATTTATGTTTTCGTGGGAATGTGACAAGATGAAACTCCTACAGAGAAGCCAAAGTCTAACGAGAAGTTTAGAAAACTTAAGAATAAACCACAGATCTTGAATTTTTTTAGATTTTCGTTTCAGTCCTAGATATTTTATTGTGTTAAATTATGCTTTTTGAAAGCGTCGAAAAGTATATTCTATGAAAAGACACCGGGCAAGCTCAGGTTTAATGGGTTACAGTAGGTGACAACAAAATATTCCTATGGCTCAAATCCTTATTTATTGAATATTATTTTTAAGTTTATCGTATTAAAGCAACGAAATCCCCCCAGTGGCACAACGGTATGTCTGCGGACTTACAACGCTAGAATCCGGGTTTCGATACCCGTGGTGGGCAGAGCACAGATAGCCCATTGTGTAGCTTTGTGCTTAATTACAAAACAAACAAAGCAACGAAAATAAATAAAACAGTTTATTAATCATTGAAAAGAAACTATATTTATTAAATATTAATTTATTTTGTCCAAAAATATTGTTACCTAACCTTACATAACACAATTTTTAAAAATCGTATCCTACGTTAGTGATAAATCTTTGTCAATTTCCGCAATGTCTTTTTAACGATTTATAGCCGGAAATGATGATTATTGCAATTTGTAAAATAAAGTATCAAAACAAGCAGTGTTAAATCAGTTGAGTTGAAATTGTCAGAATATATTTGATGGAACTTCCTGATCAATGACGAAGTAATCTATTTCAAGGATAGTCCGCTGCGGCAAAACCATTATTTATGTGGAAAAATGAATTTTTTTGAAAAATATCACAAAACCATCGTTTATGTGATAAAGTTAAATTATATAAAAATTGTGACAATAATAGTAGTTATGTGAGAAGATGTGGCAATAAATGGAAAAGGATAATATGTAACAAATTATGATTACTAACAAACACCAGTTAGCTTCGCGATCTTATGTTATTTTAGGTCTTACGACAGAAAGCAGAGCAACTTACGGTCACACACTTTAGTGCATTCGGCACTAAGCATAAGTTTTTATAATTGTAAATTTTATATTTTATGATCTTGTGCTTGAATAATTTTATGCAAGAGATCTTATATACAAAGCCACATGTGCAAATACTCGTTATTTCAAAGTTGATCACCAATGGGAAACAGCAAAATGTCTTTGTGGGCGGTCTGAGACCACTACCATATTAAAAATAGTCATAGGTCACCCTTAGTAAACAGTATTTGTAATGTATGTTTGTGTGTTATTTAGATCTTTTTCAAAAGAGTGTCTCAAAACAAAATTTTGGAAATTTCATGCCTGAAAAATAGACCAAATTATACGACTTTTATAAGTTAAATAAACTAAATGCTACTTAATAAGTTTGTTTCAAGTTTCGTGCAGTTTGGTATATCAACTGTGAGAAGGGAAAAAAGACAAGGGATGTCAACGACACCCATCAAGTCCACAAAAGAAATAAAAATTAGTCTGCTGATCAAACCTTTTTTGTGAGTCCATTTATTTAAGATTTCTCGATATCCACAAGCTGTTAAACGTGGAAACATTGCACAGACAGATCCCAAACCCAATGTGCTGAATACAACCCCTTCATAAAATGCCACTTACATTACAATCTTTTAAGTTTGGCACAACCCAGTCATGCTTACCTACAGATCTTATTTCATTTGTCACTTTAAAATTTGGTGAAGCATCTGTTATAATTCCGTAAATTTCACATTAGGACTAATTTTCAAGAACCCTTTGCTGTTTATTTTAGTGTGTGTGTTTTATATCAAAGCCACATCTGTTCTTGTGTAGAATTACTTAACAACTGAAGATATTTTATTCTGGGAGATGTAGTTGTTACTTTTTTTAGAGAAAATGTTAGGGGGGGAAGCAGACAAATTTCAGACTTGGTGAATGCCTCCCCTCCCCTTGACATCGCCATTTTCAAAGAGCAATCCGTGTCTGAACTTACAAATCAACCACCATACACTTTTTTACTTATTAACAATGCCATTCGACAAACACTGCTGAGGATAGAGTAAAAACGCAGTAAAAAAAACCTGAAACTGAAACACTCATCACCATCTATGTATCGCCCACTCAAAAAAGTTCAAGTTATATTGAATTACTAATTGCTGGTATAATTCAGGCAGAAGAACAACTACGAATGTACGGGTAGAAATTTTTTGATAAAGAACATTTTGCTCAAACCACTAGTATCTCGGGTGAAACTGGATTAATCGTTTGCTCGAATTTTTTAGCTTAGATATATTGCTTGTATTCTTCGAGACCATTTTGTACCGTTTCTTAAACTGACAAGCAGGAAAAAAATAAATTGTTTGCTTCTGAGCTACCACAAATTACATTATTCGAATATCAAATTTGTAAATGCGTAAGTATCAGACGTCAATTTATGTATATATTTCTGTGTGTGAATTTAAACCTATGTGTATTTGGGGCAAAATTTAGGCTGTAAAGTGGTTCTGAAACAGTGCCAAAGAGGTCGTTATATTAAGATACTGCCTACGTCCTTCTTTCTGACACTGCAAAAAAATATTCTTCGCAAGCAGAGTGTATTAGACGCCAAGCATAAGTGTACATGTAAAGAACTCTTTAAATAGTTTTTACGTTAAATAATCTTAAAGAGGAGATAGTGTTACTAGGAAACGAAATAAAAAATACAAATATATTGATATTTTTTTCATTGATACTAAAGGCTTAAAACGGCATATTTAAATAATTGTTTGTTTGTAGTTAAGCACAAAGCTACACAATGGGCTACCTGTGCTCTGCCCACCACGGGTATCGAAACCCAGTTTATAGCGTTGTAAGTCCGCAGATATACCGCTGTGCCACTAGGGGGCATTTGAATAATAATAATATTGTAATATTACAAATAAATTATCTTTCTCTAACACTACATAAATTCGTAGAGAGTTGTACTCCAGAATAATAGCACAAACAATTTAAATAACCAATTACAATTACTTTCTGTCTACATATATGAACATATATTAGTTCTATACAGATTGCAAATATA